ACAAGGGAGCTGCTTATGTTGCATCATGATGTCTCATAATGTTTGTCAGCCATCAGCGGTTTACATGGGTATTACTAATCCCAGTTCAGTGAAATATTAGGATGCCTGCGTCACTGATTGCGTAGCAGTGGATTAGTAGGTTTACGTTTAGGAGCTCTGTAGCAGTGGCACTGGAAGCACTTTAATCATCCATCCATCTATTTTCTTCCATCTTCCTAATGCAGGATTGTGGGGAGTCTATCTGAGTTTTCACAGGGTCACTTTACTTTTACTTTACTTTTTGTTACTTTCAATCTTTAGTTTATACTGTATGGATTAAATGGAAAGACTTTCTCTCTGGATAGCTTCTTTCTTCGTAAATATAAATCGACCTTCTGTCTTTTTACATTCATCATGCACGAATGTGTGAATGAAAGAGGATGTGACTGGAGTCTGGGTGTCATCTTTTTTTTTGGGAGGTTGCACATGTCTGGCACGCCCACTTTCTCACCTTTTCACATTGCCCGGCTCAGCCTTCTGCACAGCACAAACCACCCGGCACAAGTCAAATCTGACTAGTTCTTTCTGCCATCTGTTGCTCTCTTCCTTATATGGAAACAGTTTTTCTGTGTAAGCACAGACAGATGATCTGTGGACCCAGATAATGGTGAACTGAATGATACCGGAAGTTAGACCACAACTATTTTGATTTGGTCTCAGTAAAAGTTTAGAAGTATACCTCAAAAAACTTTTATGTGCTCTATTGGTTTTTATTTAAAGGGTTTAGACCAGGCTGGCTCATTTGGAAATGTGTGCACCACGCAATCATTTTACAAATCTTGAGATCAATGATGTCCAACAATCATAGATGTTCAAAACCTTCTTGATTGTATTTGTGAATACAAAACAACATAACTTTCAGATTTTAAATTGTGACGGGATGAGATCTTCTACAGTGCTTCCTTATTTATACCTTGTGCTATCACCAACTTGGTGCTTCACAGTACGTCTCTGAATCAGTGATCAGAGGTCAGAATAGTGCATGAGGTGTGGCGTTTGTTGACCAGTAGGATTTTTAGCACTAGCACTGTGACAGTGAAGCTGCGGGAGCAGAGGCAGTGAAGGTGGAGGGGTTTAAATACCTGGGGCCAACCATTCAAAACACCAGACAGCACAGAAGAGAGGTAAAAAAAGATAGTGGAGTGGGTGGAGATGAGTGTCAGGGGTGATTTGTGACAGGAGGATAGCAGAAAGGGAATGTTTACAACCTGCTATGATGTATGGTTTGGAGATAGTGGCACTGATAAAAAGACAGGTGGCAGAATTTGATGGGAATCAGCGGGACTCAGTCATTTTGAGACAAAGTTATACGGTTTGGACATGAGCAGAGGGGGGATAAAAAGGAAAGGATGATAAAAGAGGAGGTTCATGGATGCTGTGAAGGAGGACATGCAGAGGGTTAGTGTGACAGAAGAGGATGCTAGGGAAAGGGTGAGATGCCAGAGGGCAGATCATCCTCTGTGGTGACCCCTAGAGGGAGCAGCTGATAAAGGCAAAATATGACTTTGTATTGCATTTTACCTGCGACAGTGAATGCATGTATGATCAGTGGCCTTCTAGCTTAAATTGTACTACAAAAGGAATATGAGGGAGTGCTGCGTGGTAGCTTTATGGTTAGCGACTCTGTGTAAAAAGATGAGCAGCACGTGTCGCCCTTTGTCTGTGTGGGCTTCCTCCAGCTGCTTCTGTTTCTAGAAGTGCAGGCCAGGTAGAGACTACAGACCACTTGTAGGTGTGTGTAATGTGTCTGTCTGTCTTCATGCTGAGGTTAGCTGGGATATGCTCCAGCCTCTTACACATGATGAGATGTTCAGTGTAGGATGAGAGATAGCTTCACATAAATCAGTTGGATTAGTTCACTGAAACATAATCGGTTGTTGATATCACACACAGGAGCAAACTGTAGAAAAACAAACTGGCTGTACATAAATATGGGCCATAGGCCACATACTCTACTCTCGTGGCAAGCATACTGCAAAATGAATAATGTGCAAGTAACAAAAAATGCGGGTAAATTCATGCAACCTAGTTTGAGATCTCAGTATTAATCACAGAGCTGTTTGATACACCCACAGACAGTTAACACAAAAGACTTCCAATATGTCACCAAGCTTCACTAAGAAGAATGTGGGAAGCCACTATGTGACTGATTTTTTCCTGCCTCTAGTCAAGTGAACACACACAACTTAGTGGCAACTGGAACAAATGTAAGTGCCTGCTACACCAGCTACTCCAATGCTACACATTTAAAACTTGGCACTGCCTCACACAGTCAACCTGTGATACATTACTGTAAACACAGAACAGGAAGAAATAATATCACAGTGCAAGCATCAACACAACCACAAAATGTGTTTAACTGTAAGGATTTACAAGTTAAATTTCTTATAATGTAACTGGAGCAAAAGCGAAGGGTAAACATGAATGTTGGTCTCGACCACTAAGACTTTGGGGCAAAAGACAAGTCAACAACCACAAGCGATGTACAAAAGAGATCCCTGAAGGGACATTTTAACTTTGATATACTTTATTTGCAAGAGTCTTTTCAGCATGAGTACAAGCTACATGTACCACCAGTTTGTTCACCTTTCTAGTACTGGGCTGGACCTCCTTTTACCTCCAGAAAATCCCCATTTCTTGATGGTGCAGATTTCCTATGGTTGCTGGAACATTCCTCAGAGATTTTGATTCACAAAGATGTGATAGCGCCACTCAGTTGCTGCAGATTTGTTTGCTGCACATCCAAGAGATTAATTTCCTGTTCCTACTTATCCTAAAGGTGATCTATTGGAAATGACTGTCATATTAAATAAACCAGTTTTAGATGTGTTGAGCTTTGCGACATGGTGTGCTACCTGTTGGAAGTAGCCATCAAAAGATGGTTAACAACAATACGCAGATTGGCTGTGGAGTGCATCCCACACACCATCACACCGCTACCAGTCTGAATCAGTGATACAAAGCAGGACGGGTCCATGTTTTCATGTTGCTTATGCCAAATTCTGAATGTTCATACTATTCTTCGTCTGGCTGTTGCATCAGAAATCGAGATCACCAATGTTTTTCCAGTCTTCTGTTTTGTGACGTGTAGCCTCAGTTTCTTGTTCATAGCTGACAGAAGACCCAGACAGCAGACCCAGACTTCTGCTGCTTTAGTCCATCTGCTTCAAGGCTGGACATGCTGTTCATTCAGAGAATGCTCTTCTGCATACTTTGGTTCTAACATGTCTGTGCTTGAGTTTCTGTTGCCTTCCTGTCAACTTGTAGCAGTCTGGCTATTCCTCTCTAACCTCTGACATCAGCAGGAAATTTTCACGCAGCTGCCACTCACTGGAAATGTTCTCTTTTTCACACCATTCTCTGTAAACCCTAGGGATGTGTGGGAAAAAAAAAAACAGGAAAATCAGAGTTTCTGAAATACTTAGAGTAGGTCATCTGCTGCCAGCAACCATCCCATGTTTAAAGTCACTTAGATCACCTTTCTTCCACATTCTGATGCTCAGTTTGAACTTCAGCAGGTCGTCCTGAACATGTCCACATGCTTTAAATGTGCTCAGTTGCATGACTGAGATACTTATGTTAACAAGCAGTTGAATGGGTGTATCTAATAAAATGGCTGGTGAAAAATGAGGACTTGTAAAATGTTTAGGTGCATTATTATTAAATAAGAAATAAACTGGTTCCTATATAGCACTGTTCTATTCTAACTGAGCACACAAAGCACTTTTTTATATAAATCATGCCACATTCACTTGTTTCTATGCTTTCTATCTACCATTCATACAAATTCACATCAGAGAGAGACTTGGAGTTAGTATGTTGCTCAAGGATATTTGGCACTGGAGAAGACAAGGAGTGAACCCCCAGCCTTCAGCTTAATAGGTGACCTGCCCTATCTCCTGAGCCACCTCAACACATATTATTATTATTATTATTATTATTATTATTATTATTATTATTATT